GGAGGAGGAGAGAGAAAAAGAGGGACAGGGGGGTGGCGGGGTAGAGTGTGTGTGGGGGGTAGAGCGCAGGACCACCTGGGGCTCTTTCGGATTCTCCTGTGCACTTCCCAGGTGGGGGGGGGGTGCTGCCATGCTGTGCAGCTAGAGCGTCGTCGCTGGCCTGGGGCGGAGGGTGTGGCCTCCTCCCACAGACGGAATGGAATCGCCCAGTCTCCTCTCACTCCTCCCCAGAACTCCCTGGGTGGCCGGACATCACTGCAGACTGTGCCCACAACCAACCCTTCTCGCCACCTTCACCACTATTCTCTGTGCCTCAAAACCCTGCCTGTGACCAGGTGTGACTGGGTCAGCTTTAAGAAGTGGGGACTGGTGCGCGTCACCCTGAATGCTGTCTAACCACAGCCTTTCCCCCGCTTCCAGAAACTCCTGAGCAAACACTAGGCACCGGGACATCTTCTAATTTCATATTATAATAAAAACCACGGTGACACAGCACCATGAACTGTATTTTAAATTCCAAGGGCCACTAATGAGCACGAACTCCTGCTGGAACTGTTGTCAGGATAAACACACAGAATCGATGGCTGCAGCCACAAAAATAAATGGAGTGTGGCCGCGCCCGCTGCAGCCCCAGCTGCCCTGTTCAGCCCACTCCCCGTCCATCCGTCTGTCCGCCTCTACATCCTCTGAAGGAGCTTGGCACCCAAACAGAAGGCAAGATTGAAATAATAACGCCTAAACACAAACATTAATGAGGAAAACCTTCTGGAAGAAGACAAATTTAATTTTCTTTTCCTCCTGACACCTTTCTTTCCTGTCCAAAGGGAGCTTCTTAATTGAAGTCTGCAATGGGAACGCTCCATTTCTTTTATTACCAAGTGGCCTTGGCCCAAAGAATGCGCAGCTTTTTAGCGTAGATTATACCTTCCTTTTTTTCCCCTTGGCTCTAGAAAGGATAAATGATTACAATTTTGTTATCTTCTAAATTTAAAAAAAAAAGGTGAAGTTGACTGGGTCAGAGCCATGTGCACAGTAGTTTGACAACTGGGGTGACAGCGTAACTACTGAGCAATTTTTTTGCACAATTCAGAAACTCATTTTTTTTTTTCCCCTGCCAAGTAATCAGTCTAACAAACACATCCCACTCTTGCTGAAAATAATTTCTTTTCCCAACTCTTGTAGGAATAAAACACTTTTAATGTATTTGTCAGGAATCAACACTTCATTTAATAAAATTAAAAAAGTGACAATTTAAAGAGCAATTGAGAAGAGTCCCACATCCATCATGGGCTCATGGTTCTCAGTAAAATCAGAAGAAAAACAGAAAAAGCACTGAGAATACGGGAAAACAAGTGTGTGTGTGTGTGGGGGGGGGTGGTGGTTATATTATTATGGCTGTTTGAAGTCCAAAGTGCTGGGTGCAGGACGGGGGCGGGCAGAGTGTGGCCACTCCCACTCACCCTTGCCACCTGCTCAGTGCTGCCCCCACTGGCCCTCTTGGGAGCTGATGGAAGGTGACTTTTTCCAAAAGCCCTAATTAAGGTCCCCAAACAATAATCTACAATGAAGGGCAGGGGTTCTGGCAAGGTTCTATTTCTTGACCTGGGTGGAGGTTACAAAGGTGCTCCCCTTTCACATTTTGACAAGCGTCGTGGTAAAGGGCCAGAGGGTAGGAGCACCCACCAGTCTCTCTCTGATGAGGACGGGCCTTTTCTCACTTCAGTCTGGACACCATCACACCTCGGGCTGTGCCCTCACTGGCGTGGCACCTTGGGGCTGTCCCGGGGGGAAGTATGCCCCTCAGCTGCCTCTGCCCCCGCCAACAGTTTCCACCAGGTTGGCCTCCACCTTCTGCTGGCGAGGACCCTTCGGGCTCCTGGGGACCCTCCTAGCTGTGGGCCAGCAAGGCTCCTCATCAACTCTTCCACTCAGCTCTGCTGTCTCCCAACCTTGTCAGCCATTGGGCTCCGAGGGCCTGGGGAGAAGTCCTCAGTAGGAGCAGCCCGGGGGCATGAGAACCGACTGCAAGTTTAACTGCTCCCAGCAGCCCACCCGAGGCCACCCCAGCTCTCCCCCAGCCTCAAGGCTCAACTTGGGCTGCTGTTCCTCAGGTGAGCCCGGGCTTTTTCCCAGCTGCCAGCTCATCCCTCATTCCCTGGACATCTGGGCACTGCCCTGGGTATGGCTGGTGTGATGCACTCGACCAGGACTCCCGGCGCCGTCTGGAAGGCCCTGGCCTGCTGTCCCCCAGTGAGAAGGCCATCGAGGTGGGCAGAACACCCTGGCCCAGCGAAGGGTAAACGGGACCAGGCTTGACTGAGCTCCTTCAGTGTCTGCCTGAGGCCCTGAGAAGGCTCCATCCAAGTGGGGCCTCCCCAGGGCGTCCAAACAGTGTCATAAGACCAGGGGAGAAAGGGGTGATGGTCTGTGCCTCCTTCAGCGGTGAGACTGTGCAGGCATCACAGTGCCTGGGTGGCAGAGTGTGGCTATGTGGGGCAGCACAGGGTAAAGGTCTGTAGAGAGTTGGGTCATTCCCCATTTCCTGAGGTCAGCAGAACAGGTCTCCAAGCCAGGGGCTCCGGACAGGTTATTTTAATGTTTAAGAAGAAGCCCTTGAATAGATACTTTCAAAACATGTGAACTCTGCCCTTGAAATGACTGATCTAATGACTTCTGCTCCCCCATCAGCAGTGAATGGACTGCTTAAGGAAGTGCTGAGTGGACAGGACTCCTCCATGCTAATTGGCAGCCAGGGGCTGGATGCTGACAGAGGCAGAGGACAGCCACCCACCATGACATAGGGCAGCAATGCTAGTCATTAGAGGAGCTTTATCTTATGAAATGCCTGGCATCTCCTCAGGGGGTTCCCTCACTCCAAACCATGGGAAGTGGACAGAGATCCCAGAGCTGGGCCTGGGAGCAGGGCGAGAGGGACCGCCTCAGAGGCACTGCGCTTGTCACATGCTTGTGACCTGGCTGAGGGTCTGAGGAGAAACAGGAGAACTGCGGGCCCAAGTCGCTCCTCCTCCCCAGAACAGTTTCTTTCCCTGCCTTGGTGACATCTGCTTTCTGCTGACCTGGGTTCACAAAGAAAGACAACCTTCCTTCCTGTTTATCAGACAGTTTGATACCACTGTACTATTTCAATACTGATATATCACTCAAAACTAAGTTAAACGAGAGAAGACAGATTGAGTTAGCTGAGCCATCGGCTCTTTCTATACCCCAACCAGAACCCCCCTAGTCCCACACCCTCCTCTAAGCGTGATCACAGCACATGCAGGGGACCCCGCGCCTGGTCTGGAGGGCAGCAGGTGCTCTGGCGTCTGCAAGCGGCTGAGGGCCCACTGTGCTTTGCGGCTCAGCCCCACCAAGCTTACAGGGAGAGCTCTCCGGCTCTGGCCCAAGCTTACTGGACAGCGGGAGAAGTCTGGAGACAAGCAAAACAGCAGACAGTAATCTGATCAAGTTACAAAGGGTAGTTAACACTGGAATGGAAATAACTAACAGACAGAACAGGGCCAGATCAAGCTACAACAGTCAATGAGATCATTTCATGAAGATTAGGAGAAAAGCTTCTTATAACTGCTTTTCAATGCCCAGTACGGTACTGGGTACTGTAGCATGGGGGGGAAACACAGCCATCACTGGATACCACCATGGTGACTGCACAGTCTCAGTGTGGACGCCTGACACTGATGGGTGGAGGGCGACCTCGACCCCCGCTCGGCTACAAAAATCCCAAAGGGCGGCTCCACTACGTGGTTCCCAGGCAGGCTCACCAAACCGGAGCTTGGTATATGTCTATACACGCATACTTCTGAACATTAAATTAGTGAGTGACACGACCCTTTCCTTGCCAGACTCCCAGGCTTAAAAGCATGTGCTAGTTCTGGATATATTTTGGGAATGACAGGTTAATAACTCAGCAATTGGAGTGATTATTAACTCCAGTGTCCGCAGATTGATTTGTTCATTGTGTACTTTGTTGAACTTCCTCACAGGATTTTCCTGGTCAGACCAGGTGCCATGATGAGCTGCATCTGTGTCTCATTTAGAGATGTACACAATATTTCTCTGCTCTACCCCATGTTTAACCATCTCAAACTAAGGGAGGAAAATTACAGCATCAGGAGGGATTAAAATGAGTGATTTGCTGTTTGAGCATTTCAAAAAGATCTGGAACACCTATGATTCAGCAAATGGAGAATAAGTAAAAGAAATAAAAAATCATTTAGTTGCCAGGACGATGTGTTCCATAAAAGTAAACACTCCTAGAACCCATCTCCTAAAGGGTTGCCTCCAGGTAATAAAGGCCTAATACACCCTCCTTACAGCCGAGCTTCGCTGCCATTTTTGTATTCTAGCACAGGCCTGTCTATTACTTCCTTCTGTTCCCTTTGCCTGGGGCTAGATTAGAGAAGTAGGGTGTTAATGGGGGACTTGATGAAGATTGAAGACCCATTTTCTCTCCTTGGAGACCAGCCTGATTTGAACAAATTGAGGAGAACAAAGCAGCCCCTTTCTGTCCTTGGGAGAAAACCTGCTCTATGTCCGTGTTTTTCCAGCCAGGTCTGCTCCTCTCTAGAAGTGGGGGTGGGGGGTGAGGGTTGTGGGGGGAGTCAACAAAGATCCCTGCTTAAGGAGGACATAATTTCCTGCTCTTGCCTGGGCCCAACCCAAGTTATTCCACACCTGCTGCCTCCCTTTATTGGTGCTGCAGGTGGGGTAAGCCTGAGGTGGAGCCTGGGCTGGAGGGCAGGGAGCTGCCGCTGGGGGCCTACAGGGCATGTGGGCTGAGCTGCTGACCTGCCAGGCTGGTGTCCCCTGTCCCTGGGTCCTCGCCGTTTTCCTCCTTCTGGCCACTCTGCTGCTCTGGACACTCAAAGTGGACACAGTGGAACACCTAGGGGAGAGAAGGGCAGATGACGGTGAGTGCTGGGCCACGGCGCTGTCCTGCCAGCTTTGGGGACGAGGCAGGGGTCAGACCCCTGACAGCTCCTAGAAGGTTGTAAACATCTCTTTTGATCAGTCAGAATCAAGGTAAATGGATCAACGGTTCCAAAGTTATAGACGCACGGCGTGGATTCCTGTGAAATGTTCTCACTGGGTTACTCCAGTTTTTGTTACTTTTTTCTTGAGTTCTTTCCTCTTTTTCTCTCTTCATTTCTTTATTCTTGAATTTGCCAGTTGGGTTAAAAGTCAACAGGAGTTGACTGTAGTGGTTGCACAACACTGTGAATATACTGAAAACCATGAACTGTATCTTTAAATAGGTGATTGTTTGGTATGTAAATTCTCTCACAATAAAGCTAGTATAAAAAAAAGTCCACAGGGCATTACCTCAGGAGAGAAGCATCTTTTTTTCTTGTGAAGATGTACGTAGCAGACGTACACCAACCCAACGGTTTCTGCGTGTACAGTTCAGTGACACTGGTTACATTCAAGATGTGCCGCCTTTCTCAATACACTTCTCTGAACTGTTTCCCCATCATCAACACTGACTCACCGCCCCCTAAGCGTCCTACCTAACCTTTGGAGTTGCTGTTGTCAAGCTGATCTCATATAGGTAATTATTTAGAAGAACACAATGCTCAAGGCAGACATTCTTTTCTAATTCAGCTAGTTTGGTTTAGAGATGAGTTTAGGGGATAGTTTCAGTTTAAGGTTTAAAGATTTTCTCAGGGTAATAGTTTCAGGTGCAGGAGGGGGACCATCCAACCTCAATGGCACCAGAAAAGAAGTCTGGATTCTACAAGAATTTGAAGTTATGTTCCAACTCCCCCCACCACCCAAAAAAAAAAAAAAAAAAAAATCAAGATTCTGCTATAGAATCTTTGGTCAAATTGTTCAGTAATGGTAGCTGGGTACCATCCATTTTTGGTCTCCTGGCAAAGAAGGCAGCTGTTCATGGAGGCAACTGGACACATATTCCAGTTCCAAGAGAGAAGCATCTTAAGTGTTCACTCATGGACCCACACTTATCTCTAAAGGTCCCACGAGGCCCCTCCTCTGTGTACTTCCTGTGCCTTCAGTTGGGAAGGAAACAAGCTCCTGACGTCTGATCATCTCCGGCCCAAGCAGGGCTGAGCACAGACCTGCTGTCTAGCAGTGCTGGGGGTGGGTTTCAACCCTATATGGCCTAGGCCAGCTTAGAGCAACGCCCTCAAGGTGGAGGGCGGGTGGCCCCCTGGAACCAGGAAAAGCTTGCCTACTGCATCAGTCACTCGGAGAGCACCCACTGAGCTCTGAGCTCAGGAATGCTATGGCCACCATGAGATCCGTCCTAGCACCAAGCTCTGAGCTCAGCACACAGGGCTTGCTCAGCCCTGATCTTAAACGAACAAGTAACACGGCTGGAGGAGCTGAGGCTGACATGGAGGTAACCGCTGCATCGTGAGCTGTGGGGGCTCACAAGACAAGGGGACCTCAGAGGAACCCCGTGTTAGAGGCAGGCTTTGAGTGGTACGCACCTCTGCAGTGCACACACAGAAAACCTTCTCTGCTGTAAGACATCCTGATTCTTCCCCGGTTATGGCTTTCTGTCCTGAGCTCTCCCAAAGGGGCGGCATTACCACTCTGCAGCTGTGGTCTTCAGTTAGGGGTTCGTAAATCTACTCTGCAAAGAGCATGCCGGCAGTTCTACAAGAATCAATTTCTAGATCCTCAAATTCAGTATTTTCTAAAACTGCCTGAGAATGTGCCTGAATTCACAACACCCTTCTCCCCCTTCACAGAGGGAAGGCGCAGCCCCCATTCCTTCCACCCTTGCTAAGGTGCACTGCACTGGGGCATACAGACCCCCTTTCAAAGCCCAGGATCCAAGAAGCACCCTCTATGAGTCACTGAGACCTCTCGAGAGCTCTGTCTTTTCCGTCTTACACATACTGCCGTCAGGGTGAAGCCTCGTCTGAGATGTTTCGAGTTCAGGACACCTGAAGCTATATAGATGCGTGAAGCTAATTCTTTTTAATATAACTGGAACTTTTCATGAACTATCCAAAAATTTCCAAGATACTCTGGCTAAAACTCATAGATAAAATTTTTCCGTGATTTTTTTTTTCAGATTCAGCGTGCCTTCTTCACTGAGGTAGTTAAAAACCTATTTCATTAAATTGTGTCATCAAATATTTATTCCAATCCTCATTTTCCATTTTACAAAATGTTTAGCTTGTTTTTCTATCTCATATTAACCAAAACTAAATGTATTTAAACTTAAGATGAAACGTTTTAGATCTCAAGCTAAAATGCCCAAATGATTACACGTTTTCCCCAAAGCTCTTTTAGAGGACATGCAAACAAAAAAGTTAGAAGGCCAGTGCTCTACTGTGCTTAGGAGAATCTATGCTCTTGACATAGTTCTTAAAAAACAAACAGGCAGAACCTAGAGGGGAAAAGGGGCATTTTGGGGTTAGAAGAGTGTTCCAGGCAAGGGGCACAGTGTAAGTGAGACTTCGAGGAGGAGATGCTGAGTGGTGTCCGACAGGAACAGGAGGGAGTGGGTGTGTGGCCTCTGAGGAGGGGTGATGTCGGCGATGGGAGCCAGTGAGGGTTTTGGAGTGGGAGCACAGACGACCTGCTCCTTGATAAGTGCCCAGTGAGGGCTTCACGCGCTGGCCTTGCCTCAGGATCCTGGCCACGTGGTGCGTTTATGTTGGTGATATGGTACCAGGTGTTTGGGGAGATCTGGTAACAAGGTGCAGAGGCACCTGGAGATGGAGGATACTGTTGGGTGATCAGCTGGGGGTCAACGCCGATGTCTAGGAGGAGGGGTGCAAGCTTTGGACAGGATGGCTGCAGAGGCACAGAGGAGGAGGAAGGATGGTACATGAGGTGATTACCTGTTAGCGGTGAAGGGAGGAGTGGATAAAGCCAGCGAGCTCTGCACCTCAGGCCGAGATAGGCTGGCACAGAAGGCCAGAGCTCAGGAAGCTGGGGGAACGGGCACACAGGCCCATGGGGGGCAGACCCAGCGGGGGCTGAGGGAAAATGCCACCAGGTAGGCAGGTCAGGAGGTTGAGGGGTATGAGGAGGCCTGGCAGGGGAGATCCCAGCAGGGGTGGAGATCAGTGAGGTTGATGGCAGGGATGGGATTTAAGGGTGGGTTCCAGTTCCTGAGAGGCCTGATGGCATGAGATGCTCTTAGAGAAACTGGCGTGCTGGGCCAGAGATGCGACACCAGTGACCAGGACAGGGTCACAGCCACAGGAAAAAGGCAGAAGACTAGCTGCTAGGACAGAGGCTCCTACAACAGACACCTCATAGAGCTTGGGCTCCTAAGGCTTTCTCCCTTTGGTCTCCAGACCTCTCCTAAATTAGGCAAAGGCCCTGGATTATAAATAAGATGAAGCAATATGTTAGAAAGCTGTGGGTGAAGTTGGGTGCAAATGGTAAGGCTGAATTATCAGCATGTAACTGGATTACAGTGATGTGCGTGGAAAGGATGGGTGGTGCCTGGACCTGCATGGATGAGCCACAAGTACAGGCCACGCTACACAGGAGCACAGCCATGCTCAGGGGATAGTTTAAGAGTGAACAACATGGCTGTGGCCTCCTGCTCCCTTGGGTGGTGCCTGCCCTTTCCTTCTGAAGGGCCTGCTGGTGCACGGAAAGCCACTGAATGCTTGCATTGGGTTTGCCCGTGTTTGGTGAGTCTGTCCCTAGGTACAGGCCTGTTAGAGGTCTGTCAGAGGATAAGGGCATAGTGCCCAGGGTGTGGGCTGGATGGGTACCCGGGTGGAGGAGGCCAAGCAGAGGCAGTGACGCAGCAGAGGGGTCAGGAGGGCAGCTGCAGCCGGGGCCTAGCAGGGATGTAGGGGCTGGCTTCCTCCCCAGGAGCTCTGCAGCCTCCACATGCACGCACACATGCACACACACACCTTTCTACATAGAATCCAGTTCACAGAGCAGAAGACAAATGCAATATCAACTCTAAGGTTACACATAAAATATAAATTCCGTGCCTACCTTCCTGCATCACTATTTTTTTTCCCCCATATTCCCATTTCAATTCATTTATCTACCACTGTTTTACATTTCAAAGTCTAATATGAAGACTAACGGAGACCTCGCGTTTCCCTGGTCTGCCCTCTTCCATTCTGGCAGAGGCTGTTTTCTCTTAGAGTGAGCTTCGTTCTGTCCTTACAGGTCAAGTGCTCCGCTGCTGTCCTGGCTGCCGGGGTGGCTCATGGGCCCGCGACCACTACAGCATCACAGTGGAGCTTCACCGCCCTAGCTGCCCTCTCCTTTCCTTCTTCCCATCCTTTTATATAAAGGCTTCTCTCTGGGCCCATCTGTAGGTGCTTACCTGTCCACAGCCAGGTGGGCCCTGGTCAGACCAGAGGGCCCCGTATGGAAACGTAAAAACCATGTGGGCCAAGCAGGGTAATGTGAAAACCCTCTACAAAGCGGCAACAATCAATCTACTCTTCCCCATCAGTTTAACATCCTTTCAGCTTTCGAAGTAACAGAGCCGTCCTCTGATGGGTCACCGCCTTAGTCTGTCTTGCTTTATGAACACTCCGCTTTCCGGCAGAAGGGCGCCTTTCTCATGGAAGCGCTCAGTCTGGACACTGTGGCGAGGCAGGCCAGGCAGGCTTTGCTCAGTAGCCAGGGCAATCCCCAGAGAACACAACTCTGCTTCCTCATACTAAACCTGACTCTCAACTCAAGCTTTTCCCTAAAAGCCCTTGTAACCGAATAAACATTCTTTCTCAACATGGCCAGAGTCATACTTTGTCCCCACCACCCAGGTCTCCATCTTCTCTGAACAATGAATTTTCAGAACATGCTGCATTTTGCAGGCACCTTTCCCCTTTCTGACCATTTGAGCTCTTTCCCCTGCCCCCATCATGTTCTCTAATCGGTTATTTGTGTAATCCCCACTCTCTTTCGCTCCCAGTCAAT